TTTGACTTATCAATATATATAGAATTATTCTTCAGAAAAGGATATATTTTTTATTAAAAACTCGTGTGTTTAAATTAGAAAATCGTAAAACCCCAAATAGGCACTGCTGTCTCAACTTTTAATATTACAACATAACAAACTTACTAAAAAGTAAAAACACCTAAAAAAATCGTTATAAAAAGGCTTCACTATTAACGAAAACAAAATATTAATCCTTTACAGAAAAAAGATTATGAAACGCTTATTTTCATTCTCAGAACTTCAATAAACATAGATTTCTCGAAACAGAGGAATCTTTGTCGAAATATGTTAATGAGTTTTCTTTCTTCTGTTCTCTTGCATAATATCAGGTTTGTAAGACACAGGTTGTTGCTCGTTTCGAAAATTATTTCTTTCTTTTTTTTTCTCTCAGCCAGCTTGGCGCATCATTAGGTTCTACACTACAATCCTGTCGAAAGAGCAATCAGATGTTTACAAACAGAAGAAGCGACAAATGGTGGTTAGAAAACCTCAATCTAAGAGTTTGTTTTACCTTGAACTAAATTGTATCGATTAGTATCACGGGTCATAAAGTGCGCTGAAATAATTTTCATTGAGAAAAATAAAGAATAGTAAAAACAAGAGAATGGAGCAAAACATTTAGAGGCATAGAATATATCTGTTGAGAAGCTGTTAATAACATCTAAAGAATGTATATGTAATATGTACACTGGGAAAAAAATTGTTAAAACAACCAGAATATGATAAAGTTTACCGTGTTCCTGGCTCTAGGGGAACACCAAAAAGTTTCTAAATTTCATAGAGCATTTCGATGATTAGAATGTTTTGATGTAAAATAAATAGAAAAAGTATTTAAACGTCTTTTTGTTATTAATTCTGATAATATAAAGATCCAAAATGAGATTTTTCATAGAATATTAAATGGTTTGCAAAACAGACTACAGAATTCGTTTTTATAATGCAAAACTTTTAAGAGATTTCAAGAAAATAAAGTGAGTAAAAAGTTGAGATTATTTAAATAAATTGCTAATAGAAATCAATACAATTAAAAATTGTATCAGCATCCTATTTGCCCTATTTCGATACAACAGCGTTTCATGAATTTCTTAAAATTTCTTCGTCTAGGATAAACTTGTCAAAGATACATCCTCAATAATAATACAAATTAAAAAAAGAATTTAAAACTGAAAAGAGTGTGATAATAGACAAAAGAAAAATTTTTGAAATAGTGCATAATATGCACTATTTCAATAATTCTGTTTACACTGTCCTTTTCAATGTTTTATTCATCACATAACAAATAATTGCATTCATTATATATCACTATTCTGTTCTTCTTTAATCTTATCGAGTAAGAATATCGCAATTTAAAAACTAAACTAGAAATGAATTATAAAATTAATTTTAAATTGCTATAGTTTAAACTCAGTAGGACTATACCTACACTGTAAAAAATTTCGAATCAAATTACGGTATAAAGTACTTTGAAAACATCATCGGTAAAATTTACTTGCAACCTAAATTATTATACCATAATTTTTACAGTAATATTAATTAAATCAGAGTGATTCAGCGATTAGAGTTATAAAATTAGAGTGATACTATAATGATTACTATAAAGATTACGATGTATCAGATTTTTTTGTTTTCTATCATGTTCCGATAAAAATCAATTTTACGGTGAAAAGTACCCTCACTGTAAAAAGTACCTGAGAGCCGCTACTTATTATAGTAATTTAATCTGAAATATTTTACAGTGTAAATCTCCAGATCCTTTTTGAAAACGAAACTTTAACTAAGCGTCTTTAAAAAACTATAGCATGAATCCGAAATCAACTAAGATTAATTAAAAAATTACATAATTTAATTACTAATTTATATAATTTAGTATTCTAATTTTAGTATTAATCTAGAGGTAATGTTATTAAAAAGTTGCTTGATACATCCCGCATTCTATTATTCATCTTTCTGTGTGCACTGATCTCATAAGAACCTCGTAATTTCAAAACAAATTATTAAAAAAAAGTAATTACATTGTCAAAGTTTAGACTTATCATGACTATACTGACATCATCAGATCCTCGTCAAAAGCCAAACTTCAACTAGTCATCAACCGAAAACAATAACTAGTCATTAGAGATGAACGAACAGAAATTACATAATTCAGCAATACAACTAGAAAAAGTTGTATAACTAAATTATGTAATTTAGTTACAACATTTATCCCATAGTATTTTGATCTTAGTTATCTCTATGTACTGATCTTGTAACAATCTTATAACTTCGAAACAAATTATTGAAAAAACAATATTGAATTGTCAAAAATTGGACTTATCATGACTATACTGATATCATCAGATTCTTTTCAAAAACTTCAACTAGTCATCTGCCAAGAACAATAACTAGTCATTAGAGATGAACGAAAAGCAATTACATAATTCAGCAATACAACTAGAAAAAGTTGTATAACTAAATTATGTAATTTAGTTACAATATTTATCCCATATTCTTTTATTTATCTTAATTATCTCTATGCACTGATCATGTAACAATCTCATAGTATCGAAACAAATTATTGAGAAAACAATATTGAATTGTCAAAAATTTGACTTATCATGACTATACTGATATCATCAGATCCTTTTCAAAAACTAAACTTCAACTAGTCATCTGCCAAGAACAATAACTAGTTATTAGAGATGAACGAAAAGAAATTATATAATTCAGCAATGCAACTAGAAAAAGTTGTATAACTAAATTACGTAATTTAGTTACAATATTTATCCCATATTCTTTTAATCTTTTGCACTGATCTTGTTACAATCTTATAATTTCAAAACAAATTATTGAAAAAAATTATTCAATTGTCAAAAATTTGACTTATTATGACTATACTGATATCATCAGATTCTTTTCCAAAACAAAACTTCATCTAGTCATCAACCGAAAACAATAACTAGTCATTAGAGATGAACGAAAAGCAGTTACATAATTCAGCAATACAACTAGAAAAAGTTGTATAACTAAATTATGTAATTTAGTTACAGTAATTATCCCATATTCTTTTATTTATCTTAATTATCTCTGTGCACTGATCTTGTAACAATCTCATAATTTCGAAACAAATTATGAAAAAAAAATACTAAATTTTCTAAAATTTGACTTATCATGACTATACTGATATCAACCGATCCTTTTCCTAAACTGAACTTCAATTAGTCATCAACCGAAAACAATAACTAGTCATTAGAGATGAACGAACAGAAATTACATAATTCAGCAACACAACTAGAAAAAGTTGTATAGCTAAATTACGTATTTTAGTTACAATATTTATCCCATATTCTTTTAATCTTATGCACTGATCTTGTTACAATCTTATAATTTCAAAACAAATTACTGAAAAAAATTATTGAATTGTCAAAAATTTGACTTACCATGACTCTGCTATTTGACTCATCAGAATCTCTTCAATTAATCATCATTCGAAAACAATAGCCTGAATCCAGAGTCATTAGAGATAAATAAAAAGCAATTACAGAATGTGTAGAACACAACTAGTAATGAAAGTTGAGAGAATGATTTTTCACATTCTTATTTGACAGAGAGAGAGTGCCAATGCAAAAGCATCAAGATACACAACGCACACCTTGTCTTGTGAAATTGGCTCTCTTCCAAAAAACCTGTTGGAGATGATGCATACACGTTCTTTTTTTTATTTCTTTTCGTAACTGTTTGTTAATATAACATCATTAGATGGGTCAGTGATTTAACCGAAGAAGAAATCGAAAAAAATGGAGTTGAAAACCGGCATCACCACGAGGCCTAAGGGTTGCCCTTAAAAGAGGTTTTATCCGTAGCGCGACGAACAGGTGAAATGAAGAGTCGAATGAAGAAGAAATAAGAAGGAAGAAACGAGAAGAATGTCGCATAAAAGTTAATATCTAGCTATAAAAAAAAACTATTGAAAGACGTTACAGCATTTCGAAATCAAGTCATGTTTAGTTGAAAGTGAAAATAGCTCCTCTTATTATGAAGGCATCAGGGTGTCAAAAACGGGGCACGAGATTTGACAATTTGATTATGTAATTCTGTTGTAGGATTGAAAGTATTTCAACCGGAACACCGATTTAACTTTAGTCGTTTTAGATTTATGTGCAGTAAGCAAAAAAAGCAGACACTTTTCATTACTTTTGATCAAATGGTCTCATTTTGTCGTACTAAGATTCAATCTTAGTACGAGTTTGTTAGTCGTTTTAGACTTATTCAGATTCAATCTTAAGATCTATCTATCAATTAAGATTCAATCTTCGTACGAGTTAGTCGCTTTAGATTTATGTACAGTAAGCAAAAAAAGCAGACACAAAACTTTTGATCAAATGGTCTCATTTTCTCGTACTAAGATTCAATCTTAGTACGAGTTTGTTAGGCGTTTTAGATTTACTCAGATTCAATCTTAAGATCTATCTATTAATTAAGGTTCAATCTTCGTACGAGTTAGTCGTTTTAGATTTATGTAAAGCAAAATTAAGCAGACACCTTTCATAACTTTTGTTCAAATGGTCTCATTTTCTCGTACTAATATTCAATCATAGTACGAGTTTAGTCGTTTTAGATTTATTCAGATTCAATCTTAAGATCTATCTATCAATTAAGATTCAATCTTCGTACAAGTTAGTCTTTTTAGATTTGTGTACCGTAAGCAAAAAAAAAACAGACACCTATCATAACGTTTAATCAGATGGTCTCATTTTTTCGTACTAAGATTCAATCTTAGTGCGAGTCCTTTTAGATTTATTCAGATTCAATCTTAAGATCTATCTATCAATTAAGATTCAATCTTCGTACAAGTTAGTCGTATTAGATTTATGTACAGTAAGCGAAAAAAAAGCAGACACCTTTCTTAACTTTTGATCCAATGGTCTCATTTTTGGTACTAAGATTCAATCATAGTACGAGTTTAGTCGTTTTAGATTTAATCAGATTCGATCTTAAGATCTATCTATCAATTAAGATTCAATCTTCGTACGAGTTGGTCGTTTTAGACTTATGTACAGTAAGTAAAAAAGCAGGCACCTTTCATAACTCTTGATCAAATGGTCTCATTTTCTCGCACTAAGATTCAATCTTAGTACGAGTTTGTTAGTCGTTTTAGATTTATTCATATTCAATCTTAAGATCTATCTATCAATTAAGATTCAATCTTCGTACGAGTTAGTCGTTTTAAATTTATGTACAGTAAGCAAAATTAAGCAGACACATTTCATAACTTTTGTTCAAATGGTCTCATTTTTTCGTACTAAGATTCCGTCCTAACGATTCAAGGGCCTTACCGTAAATATGCAAATTAATTTGTGCTGGCGATATCTTACGTTACCATATCTTAACAGAATCTTAAGTTCTTCATCTGAGATCTTGGCGATATCTTAAGATTTAAAAACGTACTTTCTCTGAATAAGCATATCTATTTCATCTCAACGGATTTGGATTTTAATACTCAATGCACGAAGAGGGGTGCAATCGCAATCTTGAAAATATAATTCTGAATGTTCAGACAGGAGATGTGTTGAAAGTTCGGGTGTCTTAATGTTCACATCACTCTTAGTGGTATTTTAAACTTTTATTTCTCAACAACTACTGACTTTCTAATTTTATATTTTTTCACTTAGAAATGAGTAGATTAAGTTGGTGTAAAAAATTTGCATATCTTACTACGCAAGAAAAAGACAACTATTAGTCAATTAAATAATAAAAAATAAAAAATAATCATAAAAAATATTTTTTCAATGAACTATTTCTGAATAAACAAGTTTTATATTGCGTGGAAAATTTTGTTTGATTCCCTTTATTAGTTCTGGTTACATAAATATACTATTTAAATAATTGGCACCATTAATTTAATAGTAAATACATTAAAAGTAAAATCAACGTCAAATTTTCAACTGCTTTCCTACATTAACTATTGGGACCACATTTTCCAGAAGACAACTACTCCCCACGTTTAAAGGGCTAATAATCCAAATTCGTAGGAAAAAAGTCATACTTTTTCAGGGAATGTAAGTTTTGAGTCTGATTTTCTAACTAAAATCATCATCAGTGCAAATTAATTTACATATTTACGGCTAGGCCGTAGAGCCATAAAGAGTTTGATAAAGTGAAAATATGATCATAAGATAAAAAGTTATTCAAGATAATAATTTTTTTTTGCGCAGATCTCTTTTGCTTTTCTTCCCCCTAGATTATTAAATGTAGATATATTCTACGTTATTAAAAGAAAATATAATTACACAGACAAAATACACACAAAGCTATTCATCCGAATCACTAAAGTTTAAAACCAAGCGAAATATTTGAAATTACAGTATTTTCAATCATTAAATCATAAAATTAAAAATCATTAAATCATTAAATCAAAAATCATAAAATCATTAAATCAAAAATCATTAAATCAGAAATCATTAAATCAAAAATCATTAAATCAAAAATCATTAAATCAGAAATCATAAAATCATTAAATCAGAAATCATAAAATCATTAAATCATTCAATCAAGTTTTTTGAACTAGTGTTATTAGTAAAGTTAAGAAAACTGAGTTTTGGAAATAGTTATAGCGTTTTTTACAGATAGAGGAGGATATGTCTGAGACAAATATATTCGTATTTATTTAGATCATCAATATTTTTTTAATGTTTTCATGCATAAAAAAATAGTAAACAATTCAATAAAGTTCTTTATTGTTAATACATTTGTTTTATTTGGCTTCACCCAATAACATCTTTATTTACAGGATATGAGAAAAAAGATAATCGTCAGTCGTATTTCCTTAAAGCAGCATAAAATCAAGCTATAATAAGTATAATATAAAGTGAAATGAATGGTTTAATAATTCAGTTATTGTTTCAATTGATTCATTTAATGATTTACTGGTACAGAAGTTGAAGTATAGAATAAGTGTTTCAATTTGAGATTCAGTGACCAATTCAAATAGTGATTCAGTTACTAATTTAGTCATTCATTAGCTAATTTAGTGTTTTTTACTCACTCGTTAATTTAGTTAATCGTACAATGATTGAATTTGGGATTTAGTTATTTAGATAGTAGTGCTGTGATTAAATAAGTGATTCAGCGATTCATTGATTCGGTTACTTATGATTAAAATAGTAGTTCCAATCAATTATTTTTGCTTGTTGACTCTTTTACAAAATTATTTATTCACTTGATAATTCATTTATTTAATCGTTGAGAAACCGAGTAAGTTAAATATACACTAAGAAATATGTATGGTCAAAACAGAAAGAATGTGGTAAAATTTAGCGTGTTTCTGGCTGTATAGCCATACGGCTATACCGAACCATACGTTAACCATACGGCTATACCGAAAACATCGGTAATTTTTACCGAAGTGCTTTGAAAATGATTTTTGTAAATTTAACCATAAAATATTGTGAAAAAATATCGTAAATGTGACAAAATTTTATGCATTTAGAAAGGAATAAATTATAGAAAGGTTGAAAAACAATTCTATTGAAGGTTCAGGATTCGTATAATGGTGCATATACAATTTTGTAAGGGTCGTTGTATATTGTATTGGTTGCTGTGTATTGTATTGTTTACTCCAAAAATTGAAATTTCTGAATATCTATATATTATCTATGTTATTTTATTAGTTTAACTTATCTGATATATATCTATTCCTTTAATATTTCTTACGCAATATAATCACATTCAATTTTTTTCGCTTATATGTTCTTATGATTTTTTTCGGAAATGTAAACATTATTTTTATTTAATGAATTTCATTGAATGTCATGATACATTTATATTCTTTAAACAATATAGCATTTTTTCAGTAGCCGATATCATATTTTTTGTCAGTAGCAGCTTCGGTGTTCCTAAAAATGAAATAAAAATTTATTAAATTAGAATACAAATTGATCCAATGGGTTCTGGAATCTTGTTGGGTTTTTTTTATTGTGTATCACTTTTATTAGTTTTTTTTTTTTTTATCTTTCTGTGTAAAAAATAAATATTTTTATCTTTTTTTAATTTTAAACTGACTCTAAACAAATCCTTGTTATTATTTTTCTAACATTAACATTCCCATTAAATACTTTGAAAACCAACATAATTCACCTTTTGCAAAAAAATTCAGTACAGATATCAAAATAATTTCCTTTGTTTCAGCTTTTATCAGCCGTTCAAATAAACTGTGTGCTTACGACTTTGACCGACATAAACTTGAATAAATCTCTAAATTGCGGTGTTTTTCCTTAATGTAAATATTTACTTTTCCATTAAACATTTATTACCTGAAATAAAAATAAAAGAATGCACAGAAAAAAAGATTCGAGATCATACATGAGCTTTATTCAAAGCTGTTTCATTTATTTAAAAAAAAAAACTTTTACATGAAATTCTTCTAGTGTTACCAGAAAATGTCGGAAATTTCATTTCCTTACAATATTGTGGCTGGAGTTGCTTATAATTTATTCAAACCAGTAAAGAAAAAAGAGATTTATTTTATTACTTCCTGCCCCAACCAATAAATTGTAGTATTAAGATTTCAACATCTTGTTTTTAAAAAAAAAGCTCAAAATTATTAATTTAATTTATTTACCTTAACTTTTGATTGAAGGAAACAATCATAAAATTAAGTTTTAATAAAACTTTAATTAAGATTTATATATATGTTACCGTTAAAGTGTGTAATTCATTTATTTCATAGAATAATTAGGTATTTCATGAAATAACTAGAAAAGTCAATTAAAGTATACAATAGATAAAAAGTTTCATACTTTATCTAGTTATTCTAAGAAATAACTAGTTATTCAATGAAATAACTAATGATATACGGTTAAAGTGAAAAATAAACAATTTCAAAGTAATTTTATGAATTAATTTATCTTAAATCACAACACCAAGAATAAATTATTGTAGACTAGTGAAATTTCGGCAATGCGTTTGTT